CTGTGGTATCATTTTATGAAGATGATCAGATGTGATTAGATCTTCATAACATTAGAACAGCATGTTCTAGCAAGAAGTTGAATGTTCTTCAGCATGAACCATGTCAAATTGTGAAAAAATTGGAGTCTCAAATCTATTAATTGAAACTATCATCAGGGCTGAGAGTACACAATGTGTTTCATGTGTCTCTTCTAATCAAACACAAGAAATGGGAGGAAGTAAATAGTCAATCACATCACTCAATTTATGAGACATTCTCTGTGAAGCAAGAGTATCAGGTACAGAAGATTGTTGACTTCTGTAAGAATGACTGAGTGATTAAATATCTTGTGTGATGGCAGGGATATGAGAAAAGAACTTGGGAGTCTTCAAAGAATGTGAGACATCTAGATAAGAAGCTGTTTAAGTTTCATAGAAAGCATTCAGACAAGTCTGATCTATGCTGTATTCTGAGAATGTGCACTTAGAGAGATCTTGTTAGATTCATAAAGACATTTATGAAGCAGTTAGAGATTGATTCATGAAGCAGAAGAGCAGTGATCTGAGTAGTGAATCAATTTAGAAGAAAACTCAATCTGTAAAAGCATTTACAACTATCAAGAAGTAGTTCATGAAGCAGAAGTAGTGAATTTACTCTAAGATAAAAGAAAGAACTAGACTATTAATGACCAAAGCCTGCAAGAGAAAGAGAAAACTAGACTATTAGTGATCAAAGTCTGCAGTAACAAAAGAAAGAAAACAAGAAGACAACTCTAAGAATTGAAAGAATAAGTTTTGTGTATCTGATAGATACAGTTATTACATCTGTTTCTATCAAGAGAACTTGTGACACACTGTCTCAATGGAAAATTTAAGTTATTTCAGCATACTGTACATGACTGCTGAAGATAATTGTCTGTCATGATGATCAGAACTTTCTTCCAGAGCTGAACTCTATTTCTCAGTCAAACAGAGTCTGTTGGATCAGTAACAGTTGCAGACTGAAGAGAAAGAAAAGCAAGAAGTTGTCTCTCACAATTAGATGAATTCTGATCTGAAATTAAGAGTGAAAGATAGCTCATAGTAATCAGTGTTCTGGCTGACAAGTTAACAGCCAGAGCAGGGGCCAGAGGAGCAGAAGCAGAAGCAGAAGCAGACACAGCAGACAGAGAAGAAATTAATGAGACTGACTTCTAGAGAAAGAAAAAGCATTAGCTGAAAATCTCAATATCACTTTGTAAATGAATTTACAAAGCAGAAACTGTCTTATAAGTTATGTTATGAAGCAACTTAACATATCTTGAGTGCATTGAAGACAGAATCAATGCTTAAGAATGAATGCAGCATAGAAAAAAGCACAGATCAAGAATATAAATGTGATAGAAATGAATCAGACTGAGAAAAATGAAGCAGCATATTATCAACAAGAATTTCAGATTTAAAAGACAGATGATCATTCTCTCTCAAAATCTGATCAACTGAGACAACAGAGCTAGTAGTTGAAAAAGAATCATTACTAGATACAGTAAACATCATTGAGTGTTTCCATCAAGCTCAAATATTAGCACTCTGAATATGCCATCAGTCATGCACACAGAAAAGAGAATTATGGAGTGAGAAAACACTTTGTAAAAAATATTTCAGACTTTGTAAAAGCAATTACAAAGCATTAAAGGAAGAAGAAATGGAAGAATATCACTTACATCATTATAGTTGAAATCAGACTGACTGGATCATAACATCTGAGAAGAGATCTCAAAGTCTTCAGAGACATAACTCTCTATTATGTAAATGAAAATCAACAGCAATGATGTCTCTTCACTTTAATTTTCTTGAGAAATGGCAGTAGTTGAGAACTCTGCTTCAGATGAAGCAGAAGATTCTAAAGACATCTCTCACATTGCTTCTAAAAAAAGTCTTAAATAATGACTGATTGAAGTTTTATCTTCAAACTTATTAAGTCATTGTTGCTCATGTTTCAACATCTTAATTTAAACAGAAGAGAGACACAGTAAATTATCTCTCTATATAATGTATTAGCACTAAGAAAAGTCTTTATGAAGTCTCTCAAGATTCATAATCATCAAGAAGAGAATGCTTGTCTAGAACTCTTATTAAAATAAAGAAGAATGTTGTTGAAAAAGAAAAAGAAAGAGAGAGAGAAAGAAGATCAAGAAAGAGATATTTATATTCAAGAAATTATTAAGTATCACTAGATGAATCATGAAAAATGACAGTCACTACAGCAACTACATTACAATCACAGAGAAGCTGTCACTCTTGCTGTGATCTTACTGTCACATCTATATCTAGAAACTGAGATTGAATTAAAACTCCATGCTGCAGTCTTCTTACATTCATCACATCAAAAAGAGATTTTGTACAAAATTATTACAATCACAGTGAAGCTGTCACTCTCACTGTGATCTTGATCACATTAATGTCTTGAGAATCAAAACTTATGAAGAGAAGAAAATCTGTAAGACTCTGTGCTGCAGTCTTCTTACATTCATTTCATCATCTAAAAGAGATTTATAAAATCTTCTTAATGCTTAGATGATCATATTTCATGGCATCTGAAGTTTGTAAACTCTGTGACTGATTACATAATCACATTAGTAAAGCTGAACACACAAAATCTGCCACAGATGCTTCTTTATAAAGATCAGTGGCAACATATCTAGAGATTCTAGATACTGTTGTAGCAATATAAGTTATCTCTCTCTCTCTTATGCTTAGATCTCTTCATAACCACTTCTCACTCAATCTAATCACATTTACAAAGACTGTAAGCCATTGCCACATTACCTGCAACCACCTGATCTTCACAGTGACATTGCAGTTGTAAAGAAGAAGAAGAGAGCAAGAGTGAGCAAAGTAAGAAATATTATTAGTGTGGGGGGGAAGAGAAGAGAGAGGGGAGAGTTCACACACAAAATCAAGCTAGTCTATATTAGAAGTAGTGTACACAATGTGTTCTTTTACATAAGCAAAGTGAGGTGAACTCCACATATTGTGTTCTTTACATAAGCTGAATCATGTGAACTTAATGAAATCTTCCACTGAGTTCTCTCTTATCAGTAGTAATCAGATAGTAGAAAAGTATGACCATTCATCATCTTACAACATCATACTGAGCATCTTTGTAAGTGATCATTTTGTTACAGTTACTACATTCTGAATTCTTTCAAGAGCTTCTGGTACTTCTAGTAATATCTGATAACTTAATCTGATTATACAAGGTCAAGATCTGTTGAGCCACTTCACAACATCTGAGAACAGTTCAACTCACATCATATCAATTGTGCACTGATAACATTCATGTTTGGAATCAGTAATTATCAGTTAAGACATCTGTTGACCACACATCTGGGCATCTGAAGACCCTAGAATTCTCTTCTTACTGCTCAGTTTTTTATTTTATGTTTGAACTTTCTTTCAGAAATTTCTGCCTCTGAAATAACTCTAATTTTTTTCAAATTTTATTTTGAAAGTGTATTTTTACATTTATATGTGATTTTTATACTAAAAAATAGTATAAAATAAGGGGTCTAGTTTAGATTTCTAGGCATCCGAGAAAAGAGTTCCACTAAGTCTCAAGTCCTGATGCTAATCCCAATGCAGCACCAAGGGCGACTAACCGAATACGGCTAGCACCGCACTCCAACGGATGTTACATAAGAGCTCGGAAAATTGGCATTCCGATGGTAGTCAAAACATCCGGGATTCCGCTATGGTCCTGATAAAAATGTATCTACTCCGTAAAGTGATGAGGTACTCCGTAAAGCCAGCTGCATCCACATTCGGAGTACATCTCTCAAGCAACTGGTCATGTGGGTTCTTTCGCTTCTTGGCCACTTAGGAGTTATTGTTGGATTCTGCTTCTTAACACTTGCTATTGGTAACTATGTCACGCAGAAGAAGTCCCGTGCCAGTTACTAACACCCAATTTCTGTCTAGCATCTGGCTTATACTATCTTTCTGAGCTTGTAGAAGAGCATACAGTGCTCGCGCGACGCGTGCTTTCCCGTCTTATTTATAGCATAATCCTCATTCATGCTCTTCTCTGGCTCATCGACGGATTACCTTTCTCCCTCACATTCCTCAGCATATTCTCACACATCGTATATGCCAGCAACCTTCGGCGGTTTCCAACCGTCAAACTTTCTGATCCGCTTTTCATTTTTTCTTGCTGCCTGGTCGCGCTGAACCATTGGCTATGGTTTCGACATTTCTCTGATCCAGCCATCTTGCACACTAAATATGCTCCAGCGCCGTCTTCATCGAGTGCCATATATTATACAGGCGCCAATCATCCATCGTTTACAGAAATAGCGTCATATTTTGGCCTCTGCGTTTGGCTCGTGCCATTCTCACTTTTTGTAAGCCTAAGCGCTGGAGAAAATGTGTTGCCCACTATCAGCTCGGGATACCACTCAACCGATGGGTTATCAATGTTACATTTAGACAACAATACAAATTACTCTAAGAAAGGCAAAAGCAAAGGAATGGCAAAAGCATTAGTTGGTGGTTTCCGGGATTGGGTGTCCGAAACAGGCGAACTTATGGGCTTTTGGGAGGCCAGAGAACATGTCGCTTCTGATTCCTAGCCCTCAACGGCCGAAGCCTGATGTTCTTCATACTTCCTGAGAGCGATTTTTACTATAACGACAAGAATATTCTGTTGCCCTTATCGTATCTATAATAAGAATGACATTCAAAACATATACACATCCCAAATATCTATAAACCCCCAAAATTTTGGTAAAGGGAATATTTTTTCCATCGCCCGCGAGCTTTCCTAAAGGTAAAATCTTAAACGGATGAACTCTGGTTCAATAATTTACACGTTTTGTATCCAATAACCATCTATGTATCCAGGCGATAATGTTGGAGTTTTACGCTACCATTCGTAACAGGCGTAAGGTGAAGGCAAAAAATATAACAGGTACACAAGTCGGGCTCCTGTTTGTTCGCTGCGTTTAATCTCAAATCGGTGTGAGCTTTTACGGGCATCATGTTCACAGGGCGGTCTCCATCTTATCTAAGACGGCTCTAGTAAATTCGTTTGTAGTACCCTGACCGCCCATATCGCGAGTACGAACGGTACTAGACATTCCGTGTTAGCCAGAGTCAAGACAAAACATTTCGGGATAATATACCCTTCACCAATCACGTCGTAGACGGCCTTGGAAATACGGTTGGCATGTTCATCCAAGCCTAAATGGCGCAAAAGCATTGAACCTGATAGGATCAGTGCTGTTGGGTTTGCTTGATCTTTACCTTTGATATCAAGACCAACGTGTCGGCAGCCGGGTTCGAATACAGCGACATCTCGACCCATATTACATCCGGGGACAATACCCGGACCTCCCACAAGAGCAGCCCCGATGTTAGAAAGAATGCCTCCATACAAATTCGGCATGACCATAACATCAAATTGCTGCGGTCTAGAGACAGCTTGCATAGATGCGTTATCGACAATCATATCGTTGATATCGAGGGTCGGGTAACTCTCGGCCACTTTCTTGAAGGTGGTTCGAAACAGGCCATCCGCAAGTTTCATAATATTAGCCTTATGAATGCAAGTGACCTTTTTGCGATTGTTAGCTAGGGCGAAGCTGAAAGCAAACTTCGCAATACGCTCGGACTTCGCCCTGGTGATAATCTTGAGAGATTCCACAACGCCGCTAACAGACTGATGCTCTAAGCCAGAGTATTCTCCCTCAGTATTCTCACGGATAATACACAGGTCGACGTTGTCGTGCCGAGTCTTATAGCCGGGAATGTTCTTGATCAAGACGATTGACGCATATATATCAAGTTCTTGTCGGAGAGCAACATTAAAGGACTGATGACCGGACCTTTCAACGGGAGTATGGAGGATACCCTTCAGGCCAATCTTGTTTCGTCTGAGAGATGCGATGGATTCTTTGAATAAATCTTCCGAGTGCTTATTCCCCGTATCCACGCCGCTGACGTCGACCTGTTCCCATTCGATAGGTACATTGTCGGCCTTAAAAATTGTTTTTACGGACTCCGCTACTTCGGCACCAATTCCATCTCCTAGTTAAGGGACATTTATTAGGTATGGGACAGGACACAATTGGAGCGAAGGATTGCTATACCTGGGATTAAAGTGACGGTGTACTTGCCGCCGTACTTGGTGGGTTTGAAAATATCAGATTGTACTGTAGTAATCCCTGTAGATTAAAGTCAATGAAAAGGTGCCATGGCTAAGGATAGCATTAAAATGAACTCGCCTCTTGTCACAACCTGCCATTGTGCAAGGCACGGCAATGCCCTTGCAATCCGCAGTGCGGACTGCAGACATATTAGAAGGACGTCAACCAAGAAAGGGTAGTGTCAAAAGATACCTGCGTATTCTGAGCAATCCTCATGGAGTACATCTTTGCAATTGAATGAGAAATCTCAGAAGATTGGGCATTAAGTTTAAAATTTGTACATCAAAACATCTACCATTGCGGTTTGAAACAGCTTTATAACAGGTTTGCACTGATCAGAGGTGGTAGTTAGTCGGGCCAGTCAGGTGACCAGGTTCTTCAATCCATACTGGAATTCCGGATCTGTGGAATATTGTAACATAATTCATCACAGAATAACCTAACCCACAATGCAACCAATTTTTCTATCATAGACCTCTACTTTCAAAATTCAATAAAATGACCAATAAAGCTGCTACTAAATTGATGATTGAAGATCTGTGCTTGCAGAAGACTTCTAATTATGCCAAAACTGTCAAAAAGTATGAAATCAATGTAACTATGTTGATGTGTCACTTTAAAAATATATAAGTCTCTAGGCATGAAGCTGTCTCTCTATATTCAAGAAATCTTACAGATGTGCAGAAATAAACTCTTCTAGAGCATATTGACACTTTTATAAATTGTGAATTTTCTGCTATATCTCAGCTTTTATGAAATCTAGTAAATGAGATTCTATAAAATAATATAGAATTCAACTGAATGTCTTGCTTTATTAAATATTATGAAAATTAACTTATTAGTGTTTTTTTATGAAATATTGATCAAAAGAGAAAAGCTGCTGACAATTCTATGTACTATTTTTCATTTTTTGATCTAGTAATATCTATTGATTTTATTGATTTGATGTTGATTTTCACTGAGTTAAGACTAACTATATAAATTTTTCTAGCTTTGAGAAAAAATCAACAAATATAATCTTAAATTCATAAATATTTACAATTTCAATGAAAAAGACTTTATTATAGAACTAGTAAATATATTTAAAAGAGTAGTCTATAAATTTATAAATGTGATAAAATATTAAGTACTGTACAGAATAATGACTGAAAGTTTATCTTTCTATTTACATGCATCTATACTGATAAATTCTTCACTACATCAGCTCTCATTATAAGAGAAATTCTAGAGACATGCAAAATACTTAATTCACTGATTTTAACTGTGAAAAAAATTAAACTTACTTTACTGCATCAAAAAATGAATGAATCAATGATGAATATGAAATCTGCTGACTGAAATTATTTAATAAAGAAACTAGAGTCAAAGCTGATTCTTCAGACAGTAAATAAAGTAGACATTTACTTATACTAAATAAATATGTCTCTCATATTAATATGCAGTTTACTAATTTTATTAATAAGAATAAAATTCTACTGTTTGTTCTTTCATTCAGCTCTACACATTATTTACAGCTTCTAGATATTGAACTTTTTGAATCAATACAGCATTATTATTTAAGAGAAACTAAACAACTTTCTTTAGCAAGACATGAATTTTATTAAAATGACAAAATTAACTTTCTACATTTTGTTCCAAATCCACATATGCAGCAGCTTTTATGCTGAAAAATATATTATCCACATTTATGAATGTCAGCATCTAATTATTATGTAAGAATATAACATTCTCAAATATAATTAAATTTATATACTATATATTGTCTTACATAACATGTGTATAACATGTATAACTTCTATAACATTTACAGAGTCATATAGATAAATCTTGATTAAATATAAAGTTTGATCTATAACTCTTTTGGAATTGGTTCAAATCTTATTCTATAAAAGTTTATTTCAAACTTTATTTTCTAATAGAGTTACAGCAATAAGATTACCACCATAGTATTGCTTATATAAATTATTAATCAAGAAAAGAATAATAAATTGAGATGACAAATTATATTATCATATGATATTACATCATATAAAATATCATCATATGTGACATCTTCAATAGCATCATAAAATTGAATATTGCATAGTTTATTTTCAAGATTAATAAACTATTGCACATTATATTCAACTTCAATAAGTTGTATAATCAGTTATACCAACTTTCTATAAATCTACATCATAGATATTCTGATTTATAGAAAGTATTAGTCACTGAAATCAGAATTTATGAAATGCCTCATATAATAATTCAGTTTTCTAAAAAGTATAACTACTTTTTACAAAACTATTGCAAGTATTGCACAATATACTGCATCATACTGCATCATACATTACATCACACATGATATAACACTTATAAATCAAGACAAATATGCCATAAGTTTCATAACTCAAACTCTAAACTCACAGTCTATAAATGAGACCAAAATTTCCACTGCTGTAAGACTCTGCACTGCAGCCTCCTTACATTCATTTCATCATTCAAAAGAGATTTGTAAAACCTTCTTGATGCTTAGATGATCATGCTCCATGGCATCTGAAATTTGTAAACTTCATAACTGATCACATGATTTCACTAGCAAAGCTGAACACACAAAATCTGCCACAAACACTTCTTTATAAAGATCAGTGGCAATATATCTAGAGATTCTAGATACTGTTGTAGCAATACAAGTTATGTCTCTCTCTCATGCTTAGATCTCTTTGTAAACACTTCTCATTAAATCTAATCTCATTTATGAAGACTGTAAGTCATTGTCATGTTATCTGCAACCACCCAATTCTCACAGTTTGCCACTCAAATAAGCAGATGGTCTGATAATGATTTTCACAAGACAGAATAACTGAGACCAAACTCAATTCTCAACTCTTTTCTCAGTATCAAAGTTAGCCAAGACACTGAGTGCAACAATAAATCTGGATGAAAGCATAACTCAGACTGAGAAATCATCTTCAAAGAACATAGAATCTCTTGAGAACTTAAGAGAGTGGATACATCTCATGAAAAGAATTCAAGAACTACAGCAGAATTTATAAACTCTAAATAGAAAGCATAAGTGAACAGAATCACTTGATGTTCTGATCTCTAATTCAAATTCTTTAAAGAAGAGTTCAGTCATCAAGTCTTCACAATATAAGATCAACTATTAAATCAAGAACTATGCAGTCTATCAACAGTTTATCTTCCAAATAGAATTCATCTGAGATGCTAGTGATCTGGATGACAATGAAACTCTAAAGTATGCAGTCACAGAATTGAACTATAATGAGAAAGATCTTTGAAAATCACACTCAGCTCAGAACTCTATTCTGAACATCTGAACTGAACTTAAACAATTTCTACTTTTATGACTAGATGATTCTGAGAACTAAATCTGATTGATCTGAAGAAATCTTTTCCATCTTTATAAAAGAGATGATGAATCAGATTTTGACTGATTGCAATGATTCCAACAACATTTACAACAAGTGAGTGAAGAGACACAGAGTGTGAATAAGTTCATCAAACATCTTTTTCTATGACAATATGACAAATCTATGCACAATAAGCTGAATGAACAGAAAGATCTTCCAGAGAAACTGAATGAGATTCAGACAGTTGTAATGTGATTAAGATCTAGTGTCAAGAGTTTCACTTTCAATTCAAAGTCACAATTCATCTCAGAGACAAATATCAATCATGGTGGAACATCATTCTATTCAAATCAAGTTCATGGACCACAAGATCAGAATTATAGAAATAAGACCTGAATCTCATCACAACAGAGAGAAAATCAACACCAGAGAATCTTCAATTTTCAGTTTATGAACTTAAAGTGGAAAGAAAGATCAGATAAGAATGCTTGCTACAATTGTGATGAGACTGATCACTATGCAGATAAGTGCATTAAGTTAAAGAAGAAATAGAGATTTAAGAAGCAGTCTGTAGATAGAATGAATATCAAGCAATTGAAGTTATCTGAACTACAAGCTGTTCTCTCAATCACATTGTTCATCAGAGTTTGCAACTCTGAAATAGAAAAAGAAGTTAAGTGAACTGCTGCAGCAGACTCATTATGTTTCTTTTTGATCATAAGTCTGAAGCTTGCAGTAAGACTGGGTCTGAAGATTTGTAAGATGAATGTTGAGATAGAGACTGAAGAAAAGAATCATTCAAATTTAGTATCTGAAGAAATTATGAACATTTTCTTTGAGGCACAAGATACTATGAATAATTGACAGATGTTTAATAAGCAAGCATTGATTGCTAATATATCTGAAAACATAATGTTAGATCTCTTCTGATTACACTGTCATGATTCTGTTGTTTCATTTGAAAATCTATCACTTAAGTTTCATAAACAGAGTGAATTAGACTCTATGACAAAAATCAAGTCAGTTTCTCAAAATAAACTTGTTGATGGTGATAAACTCTTCTATGTAATGAGAGTTCATAAAAGTGAACAAGTCATCATCATGAATGTGGATCTGCAGATATCAGATAGTTATAAAGATTTAATTGATGCATTCAGTGATGCAAAAGATGCTTTCTTACCCTCTCACTGAAAGAATGATCTAGACATTGAGTTGTTGCTGAGAGTAGTGCCAAAGTTTGACCCCATTTATCAGCTTTCAGAAACAGAGACAGAGCCTTTATGAGAGTATGTTAACTTCATCTTGTTAAGTGAATTTATCAAACTCTTCAGATCATCAACTGAGTCATTCATTCTGTTTGCAAAGAAGAAGAATGGAGGGTTATGAATGTGTGTGAATTATTGAAACTTAAATTCAAAGACAGTAAAGAATTAATATTCACTTTCACTGATTGAAGACATTCTGAATCAGATTGGGAAAGCTAAGATCTATACCCAGCTGAATGTGAAGAATGTGTATCATCATTTACAAATAAAAAAGAGAGATGAATGAAAAACAGTCTTTCAGACTCCACTGAAAATGTTTGAATATCAGATGATTCCATTTGAACTTACAAATGCATCAGTGATGTTTCAGTCATACATCAACAAGACACTGAGAAAGTACTTAGATGTCTTTGTGATGATGTATCTGAATGATGTTGTGATGTATTCTGAGAATGAGAAAGAATACACTGAACATGTTTATAAAGTGCTCAAGACACTGAAAGAGACTGAACTCTATTGCAAGAGATTCAA